CTTCGGGTAAGTTGCTTTATAAGGCCTCTCTGCGGCCCTTCAGAGCAGTGGTTGAAAGAATCGCCCCCTTGAGCCATTGAAGAAGTTATCATCGCCCCCCTCCCTCCCTCAACATAACCTCTCAATCACAACACAGGGAAAGAATTCTTCTAATTTATGCAAACACGTTTTTTGTTTTCTTTAAAATTGTCGTCAGGACATAGCGATGCAAATAATGTATTCCCCATATCTCAACTGTGTGAATAATTCTGATGCCACCCATCACTTTACTCCAAAACTTCGGCATACATGTATTTCATTATCATCTTATTTATTCAAGACCCTTAAATGCAATGACCACTGAAAACAAAATTCAATTGCAAGAAAATGAAGTGGCAGGGGGAAAAAAACAGTAACATTTAATGATTTAATTACAAGTGAATTTGGTGCCGTGCTGTGTTTTTTGACAAACCCATGTTGGCTTGTAATAATAGCTTTGTTTTGTTTCTAGGCTTATTAGGCAGTTCCGTTGCTTGGTCATCTTTTCCAAGATATTCCCAGGGACCGATGCCAGGCTGATTGGTCTTTGGCTTCCTGGATGTTTTTTACTTTATTTTATAAAATATACAAAAAGTGTCAGGAGGAAGTGGGATCGAGAAGTCATGATGGGATGGAGGTCATATGTGCAAAAATGAGAAGAAGCAGGAAAAAGGGGCAAGCATCAGAAATGGGTTGTTTAACATGAGCCTGAATTCTCTTGCCTTCTCTTTTGCTTATGCGATGCTTTAGTTTATAGTTTGCTTTATTGTCATTGCACCTCATACAGTGAAATTAAATGCCATCTTCAGTGTACATTATAACTATAAAAATAAGACACAAACTCACATCCTTTTCATTCCATGCAATTGAATTGAAACCCCCTGATATTGCATTAATACTCTGCCCAGAATGTGCATTCTGGTGAACTTCGGAGACACCAGATGAGGCACAAAGAGGAGAAACCCTATCAATGTGGGGAGTGTGTGAAAAGTTTTGTTCCACGAAAAGAGCTTCAGGTTCATGAGAGAGTCCACACAGGGGAGAAGCCATTCAAGTGTGAGGAGTGTGGGAAATGCTTCTCCCAAAAACAAAACCTCATAAGGCATCAGAGGTTCCACACAGGAGAGAAGCCCTACCGCTGCATAGAATGTGAAAAATATTTTGCTTATAAGCACATACTTTGGATACATCATAAAACCCACACTGGGGAGAAGCCATATCAGTGCAATGAATGTGGGAGATTTTATCGTACCTCATCAGCCCTTAGAAGTCATGTGAAAATTCACACAGGGGGAAAAAAAACTACAAATGTTTAGACTCTGAGAGAACATTTGCTCATTCCGGTTCCTTTAGAAGTCACAGCCAAATCCACACTGGAGAGAAACCATACAAATGTCTGGAGTGTGGGGAATGTTTTGCCCAGTCTTCAGCACTTCGGACGCACACGAGGCATCACACAGGAGAGTGGCCGTACAAGTGTGCGGAGTGCGAGGAATCTTTTCCTAGTAAATCAAAGTTAAAAATGCATCAGAAAGTCCATAGCAGAGATAAACCTCTTCAGTTGTGAACGACATTCAAAACTTTTTTTCTTAAGGTCGCATCTTATAATTCACCCGGAACTTTGCACAGTGACAGAAGGGAAATCCTGCAAATGTTTGGCCTGGGGAAAATGTTTTTTGCCAGGGGAGCAACCTCAAAGTCTTAGCAATGAGGGGAAGGGC